GAAGCGCAGATACAAGGGCCAAATTCGAGAGTGCTGTGTGATGGGCAGCGCCCGGAGGGCACGGTCGAAGGTGCGGCGGGTGTGTGTGACACGCCCCTGGTCCATCAGGAACTGGCAGTAATCCAGCCACAGACGGGGCATCTGGGGGTACGGAGAGAGGCGGCTGGGGCTAAGCCATGGACTCCATGACCTGGCCACAGACACTCGATGTCCTATGGCTGAGCCACACCTAGGGCCACCACATAAATGCAGGGAGACCAAGAAACCCCCAGCTCCAGGACTGAGTCCAACCCAACTTCCCATGCAGAGAAGCAACAGGACTCCAGGCCCCCACCCCTATTATGCTGAGCCCAGCCCCCACACCCACCGCACCCACCACCATGGACTGAGCCCCACCTCCCCACTCATCGCCTGGCGCAGGCCCAAACCTTGTGCATGAACACAAAGGCCCTCTCATGACAGTTGTTGACATCTTCATAGGCGGGGTCGGTCACACAGCGATGCTTCACCTGTGCCCGACGTGCCTTCAGGTATCGGTACCAGAGTTTGTAGCTGGGGAACAGGAAGGGACAGACGCTGATTGGTCAGCTTTATGGACCCTCCCAGGACCACCTGCCCCACCCCAGTTGGCAACTGTGGGAAGAAGGGGTATGCGGGTGGTGGTGGCATGTCTCAGCAATGATGGGACAGACTGGGACATCAGGGAAGGTGTGCTGACCCATCAAAGGATTTACAAGTCAGCGATGGAACACAATCACCTGGGACCTATTTGCCAATTTTGTTATATCCAGGTGGGGTGGGGGCTGGTGGGCAGGGCAGCTGAAGTCATTCCCACCTGCAAGGCAGGAGCTTGAGTGCCCGCTCATACAGCTGATTGAGCCTGGGCTTCGGGGAGCCCTGTTTGAACTCAATGTAGCGAAGCCAGCATTTGACAGAGAACTGGTTCCGCATGATTTCTTCCTCATAGGGGAGGTCCTCTTCCTCCTGCCAGGGCCAGGGAATGGGAAGAAGAGAGACCTACCCTCAGAGCCTGCGTGCAGCACCACCCCACTACTGGGGCTCAGGTCCAAACTCTGGACTTTTACCCAGATCATGCCACCCACCAAGGAAGTCAGGTCACTAGATGCCCAGACAACAAGACACTGGTCCAGAACTTTACTCTCAGAATTTGACTCCCCACAATCGAACCCAAACCATCAGACTTCTCAGTCATTAGGACTCTGGGTCAGGCATGAGTTCGCATCACCACCTGCTCTCTGCCCCAGATTATCAGACTCCTTAGACACCAAGGCCCTGGCCCAGATGCCAGGCCTCTGTCCTGGACACCAGACCTCACTTCTTCAAAACATGCCTCTTCAGCTGGGCACAGTGGCTCACGCTTGTAATCTCAGCACACTGGGAGGCTGAGGTGGTCAGATCACCTGAGTTCAGGAGTTTGAGACTAGCGTGACCAACCCAGAAAAACCCTGTCTCTACTAAATATACAAAATTGGCTGAGTGCAGTGCCTCACACCTGTAATCCCAGCACTTTGGGACGCCGAGGCAGGCAGATCACCTGAGGTCAGGAGTTCAAGACTAGTCTGACAAACATGGAGAAACCCTGTCTCTACCAAAATTACAAAATTAGCCCGGCGTGGTGGTCCATGCCTGTAATCCTAGCTACTCGGGAGGCCGAGGCAGGAGAATTGCTTAAACCTGGGAGGCAGAGGTTGCAGTGAGCTGAGATCGTGCCATTGCCCTTCAGCCTGGGAACAAGAGAGAAACTCCACCTCAAAACAAACAAAATTAGCCGGGCATGGTGGCACAAGCCTGTAATCCCAGCTACTCGGGAGGCTGAGGCAGGAGAATTGCTTGAACCCGGGAGGCAGAGGTTGCAGAGAGCCGAGATCATGCCGTTGCACTACAGCCTGGGAACAAGAGGGAAACTCCATCTCAAAACAAACAAAATTAGCCGGGTGTGGTGGCACAAACCTGTAATCCCAGCTACTCGGGAGGCTAAGGCAGGAGAATTGCTTGAACCTGGGAAGCAGAGGCTACAGTGTGCCGAGACTGTGCCATTGCACTACAGCCTGAGCAACAAGAGCAAACCTCCGTTTCCAAAAAAAAAAAAAGTGCCTCTTCCCAGATACCAGGCCTTTAGCCTCTCAGCCTCCCCCTGCCACCACCCCAGGCCCAGATAACCAAACCTTTATCTCATCCACCAGGGCTCTCAGGTCCAGATTCCAAAGCACTCTGCCCCACAAGTTAACTAGGCTTTTATCTCATAAGAGGAGTTATGGTCCAGAGGCCAAGCCTGTAACTCTGGACACCAACAATCTGATGAAGATGTCATGCCTCTACTCCAGACAGTAAATATTTCATTGGCCATCGCCTCACAAGCTCCACATCACTACGGTTCTTCTAGCCTGGCCACCAAGTCTTTACCCCAGAAACTGCAGTACTGCAGTCCAGGCCTAGACCGCTACCCAGAAAACCAAGCCTTCACCCCAGAAACCAGAGCCCAGGCTTCGTAATCATGCCTTTACTTCAAACACCAGTCTTCACCTCTCAAGATTCAGTTATGCCATCTCCCTCCTCTCCCATTCCCTGTACGCCCCCATTTCCGCCCCTGGCTTGGGAGGCTAGACGCTTCATTCACTTCGACAGTAGTTTTCTACTCAGGCCCTAAAATACACCACCATATCTTTCCTCCTGGCCAGTCCGGTGCGGACATCACTATCCGGTCTCTGGCCCGTTAGGGTTCCCAGCCCAGCCTGGCAGCTTTGGCCTAAACCCCCTTGGCGAACAGGCCCCGATCCCCTGCGGCGTCCAGGCCCCAGTGCCCCAAGGCAGGCCACCCCCAGCAACTCTGTAGACTCACGAAGACAAGGTCCGGCCGCTCGGGCCGGGAGAGTCGCGCCATCACCACCATTTTCCTGGATGCCCAGGCACAGTCGAGAGTCGCGCATTTATGACGTCTACCAATGACGGCCCGCCCCTCCGCGCCAGACCCACTTTCTATTGGCTAAATCCTTCTTGACTGACAGGCCTGCGTTTCGACGACACCAGCGACTGGAAGCAGATAGCGGCGCCCGAAGACTACGTCATCAGAACACACGCTGGTCAATCAGCTTCAGCAGTGGAGCGTGCGAAACACCAATGAACTTCTGTCTTGCGGGAGTGTCGGCTTTGGGCGGAAGTGGCTTTCTTGACCGGGAGAAACGAGATGGGGGTGAAGGTGGAGGTATTTCGGGTCAGTGAATACAGGAGTGGGTTGGGAGGCTGGGCAGGGGATCTTCCTGGATCTGAGGATGAGGCTGGAGATCGAGGACTTTTCAAAGGAAGAGGGCGCTCCAAGGAGAAAGCTCTTGAGATTTGAGAGGAACCTTTCTGGTTGGAAATCCAGGAGAGGGGACGCTAGGTTGGGGGTTCTCGGATTTGGGCTTCTGGGTTTGGGGACTGTGAGAAGGCTGGTGTGACGAAGGACCTCAGAGAGGGGTGACCAGAGAAGGGGGCTCTAAAGAAGGAAGACTTAAGATCCTGGGGCAGCTCTCGGGCTCGTGGTGGGTGGGTGTCTGATAGGAAGACTCATCTAGACTTAGAGAAGTAGAGTTGAAGAGTGAGTCCTCCTGGGCTTGGGGGTGCTCCCGCGATCTTAAGTGGGGATGAGTAATGAGATCTCCAGGAGATGCTTTTGAATGTAGCTGGGGCCTGTATGTGTGTGTGTGTGTGTGTGTGTGTGTGTGTCTGTCTTTGAGAGGAAAACTCCATTTCATAGGGGACTTTCAGGAATTAGGCCTCCTGGATTATAGGAGTTACGCTTTAGGGCGCGAGACTTGGGAGTTCTGGAGTTCTTGGGGAGGCCCTGAGGAGGAGCTCCTGGACTATACAGTAGAATGGGTCCCCAGGCTCTCAGCATCTTCTACATGTTGCTTGTGGAGGGGGGGAGCGGCGGGAAATCACCTCATCCACCCTCTGCCATTCCAGATGATACTCTACCTCACTTTCCCTGTGGCTATGTTCTGGATTTCCAATCAGGCCGAGTGGTTTGAGAACGATGTCATACAGCGCAAGGTGGGCTTAAGAGGAATGTCCAAGGGTTCGTTCCAGAGGTGGGAGAGGGTGCGGGGCACCAATCTGCTGGGGACCCATGTCTGCCTCGCATGAGCCTACCTTGCCCTGGGTGTGGGGCTCTGGAGGGTCTTGACTCGTGTCCCAGCTGTGACTTTTCCCTACAGAGGGAGCTATGGCCATCTGATAAGGTAAGCGATCTCCTCTTCTTTCTACCCCGGGGATGGAGGAGGCTGGATTCCTGTGTCCAGGATGGGTTTCAGATGAAAATTTTAGGCGGAGTGCAGTGGCTCATGCCTGTAATCCCAGGGCATGGGAGGCTGAGGCGGTAGATCACTTGAGGTCAGGAGTTCAAGACCAGCCTGGCCAACATGGTGGAACTCCATGTCTACAAAAATATCAAATTTAGCCAAGCGTGGTGGCAGGCGCCTATAATCCCAGCTGCTCAGGGGCTTGAGGCAGGAGAATCACTTGAACCCAGGAGGCGGAGATTGCAGTGAGCCCAAGATTGTGCCACTGCACTCCAGCCTAGGCAACAGAAACTTCATCTCAAGAAAGGAAAATTTTATCCTCGGCCATGAGTAGGGAACTGAGCGCAGAGGAGTGGGTGGTTTTCTTATTGCCTTCTCCTGGAAGAATGAAGCGGATCTCACTTGGACCCCATTGTAATTGGCAGGGGGCTTCCAGTAGAGACGCTGAAACTTGACGCCATGTCTGGGCAGGGTGGTGAGAGTGGGAGTGGGATCTAGGCCCTGAGATGTGTACCCCTCCACCCTTCCTGTCCCCCTTCACCCCTGCTTCCCCGCCCCTAGCGTCAGGAGCTAGAAGAATTCAAAGAGAGGATACGGAAGCAGCGGGAGGAGAGGCTCCTTCGTGCTGCCCAGCGGAACTCCTGAGGCCTCCAAGTGGGCGTCCTAGCCCCTCCCCTGATGAAATATACACATACTCAGTTCCTTGTTGCTCATGGAAGTGTTTTATTTCTTTTATCAGCTTTTGGGGGCCAAGTGAGGCCCAAGATGGCTCAGGCCCTCAGGGGCCTTGTGTTGGGGGCTGGGGGCTGCTGTTCCGACGGAAGCCAAGAGCAGTCGGGTCCTGAGGGGTGAGCAAGGGTTGGGGACTGAGGGTCCCAGCTCGTTTCTGTGCTCCGTCCTGTGGATGAAGAGGGGTCAACCAGGGGGAGGGCTCAAGGGCTGTGCCAGCCAGAGGTGGCAAACATTGGAGAGAGAGTGCTGGTGGGCATGTGTCCCACCTCATCCTCAGCACTGGTCTGTGTCTCCCCTCAATATCTGCCATTTAGGGTGGTATGTGAGTGTGAGGTGGCAGGTCTTGGGATCCTCACTGGGGTCTTGATCAGAACCTGAGCTTCATGTATGTATGACATCAACACATGTGAGTATGCAATTGTATGTATCCCGTACGTAAGCTCACACACCCTCCTCTCTGGGATATCTTCCTAGGAAGGGGTCCTATTTTCTCCCTTTGGCCTCCCCAGAATCTTCAGACTTGGGGGCAGGAGCCACAGTTCCAGCTGTAGGTCTGACATTGGCATGGCCCCTGTATAACCTTGGGCCCCTCTACCCCATGCCTGGGCCTTGGTCCCTCTATCTGAAGTCAGGGCAGAGGATGGACAGAGGTGGGGCAGTCCCTATCCCTCCTCGCTGGTGTCGGGGGCAGGATCGAAGAGCACAGCCTGGCGGGTTTCTCCTCGGCGCCGACAGAACATCACATACCTTGGGCCCCATGGGCTGGAAGCCAGGCAGGCTACTAACTGTCACACGTTGGTCATCCATGCGGCGGCCCTGGGTGCTGGCCAGCATGTCCATAAGGCTGTCCATCTCGGGTGTGGGGCCGCTCTCTGTGTGGATGTAGACGGACTTCAGAGGACACAGCTGGACTGGGACCCCCATCCCCACCCCACCCCTTCACCCCACACAGATGCTTCAGGGTGCACCACCACCTCCCACACGCCGTGCCCCCAGGCCCTCCAGATGACCACTCGCCGTGCACTCCCGCCCCATTCATGCCCCGTGGACGGCATCCCTGTGCCCACGCTCACCGCTCTTGGTGGTCTGGCCTGGCCCGGCCTGCAGCGAACAGCGCTGCCCCTCCATCCGGTCACCCTGCACGTGGCTCAGCAGATTGAAGAAGCCCTCCTGGTCTGGGGAGCCCGCCTGAGGACAGACTTGCTCAGTCTGGTTGGCCCTTCAGCTTGGGGCCCCTCCCCAGCCCTCCCAGCCCGCTGGCTCCCACCCTGACCCCAGGGCCTGCCATCCCCTCTTCCTTAGATCTCACCATGGTCCCTGCCGATCCCCTCTGCAGAGCTGCTCTGAATGAGACATGAGTCTCCTTCTCAATCCCGGCCCCCACCCCAGTGGCCCCAGCTGGCAGTGCCACTTCACGTGGTGCCGCCTCAAGGGACAAGCTGCAATGCCAGCATCCCGCTGTCCTAGATTGGGGCCTGTGGAGTGTGGCCTGAAAGCTGGGACATGAATCAGGGAAACACAGCCCAGGAGCCACCCCCAGGTCCCAGCATTTCCCATCAACAGGGGTCCACACGGAGAGCTCTGCCCTCTACCCTGGGGCCTGGCACTCAGACCTCCAAGCCCACCAGCCCCTGCCTGCAGCCATAACTGGATCAGGGGGTCCTAGGGGACCCACTCGCTAATTAGGTGCCCTACAAACTAATTAGTCTTGCCAATTATGGGCTCTGAGACCTTGAGCTGGGGCCAGGGTGGGGGCAGGGCCCTCTCACCTCCATGCGGGGGCCTGAGCCTTCCTCTCTCTTCTCCTCCAGATCCATCATGTCACTGGACTCCAGTCACTTTCCTGCTGGCCTCTGTCCCAGCCCGGTGCCAGAGAGGGCCTTTTAAACGTCTGGGACGTGGGGGTGTGCCATCTCCAAATCCCTAGCTCATGCCCCATCTGCTCCCACCCAAGCTTAAGCCCCATAAAGATCATCCAGATAATTGTTTGCCCACAACGATGCCAGATCTGGCATGGGGGGTAGGGGGCAGGGTGACCTGAGCTTGGACCTCGCTGGACCCAGCAGCAATGACCGGACCCCCAAGGACTGTCGGGTGTGGTGTCACAAAAGGCCTGAGCAGTGTCCCTGCAGTTGGAGAAGGCAGGATAGGGTGGTAGCCGGCTTGGGTGGGGACTTGCAGGTGTCCCCACCCAGCCACCCAGGTCTCCCTGCTGGCTCCTGGAAGGGCAGCTGCCACCTGCAGTCAGTAGAGAAAGAGGAGGTTGGAGTCAAAGTCCCCTTCCCTGCCCCCTTCCCTCTCTGTACCCTCCTCACACACCCCCGGCCAGCCTAGCTCCAGCTCTGTCTCCTTGGCAGCAAGTCAAGGGTTCTCCCAGCCACCCTTCCCTCTACTCACTGTCCCTGGGGCCTGGCTGCTGGCCCCAGACCCCAAAACAAGAAGGTCTGGGATCTCTTGTCCCCATGCCACCCAGATGCCAAGTTGAGCTGTCTCCTCTCATCTATCACGCCAGCCCCAGGTGGGAACAGGAGGCGAGTCTCCCTGGGGACAGAGGCAGGCAAGGAAGAGAGGATGTCCTCGCTTTCTCCCCTGAGCTGCTGTGGCTTTCCCTCAGTGCCCAAGGAGGGGATGCCACTGGGAGGTCCTCATCCCCTTCCCTGCCCTCCCCAAGACACCTTTACAGAAACCAGTGGAAGTTTCATCTCAATGAATGGGCTGAGCTTTTGCCACCTCTGCCCGAGGCTTCCCTGTTCCACCAAGGGCCAAGTTCACACCCTCTTCCTCCATGCAAGGAAGTGTCCCCCTCCTCAGCGCATGTAGCCCTCTCCTTTCCTGGGACTCCCAGAGCAGAGTGTTACAGACCAAATGGCCTAGAGCAACAGAGATTTACTTTTATTTTATATATGTACATATATATATTTTATAGAGATGAGGTCTCACTATATTGCCCAGGCTGGTCTCAAACCCCTGGGCTCATGTGATACTCCCATCTGGGCCTCCCAAAAAGTACTGGGATTACAAGCATGAGCCACCATGCTCAGCCTTTAAATTTTTTTTTTTTAACAAAATGTATTGAGCCAACGTTCTGGAGCCCAGAAGCCTGAAATTAAGATGTCGGCAGAGCTGTGCTCCGTCTGAAAACTAGGTCTCAGGATCCCTCCTTGCCCCTCCCTGGCTTCTGGCAGTGGCCTGCTGTCCTTGGTGTCCTTGGCATGTCATTGCACCTCTTCAGTCCCTGCCTCTGTGGTCACATGGCATTCTCCCTGTGTGTCCCAGTCTTCCTATAGCCATCTTTTTTTTTCCCCAGCCATCTACACAGAATCAGGGAGACATCTGATGATCTTACAAGGACCCAGTGACGCTGCGTGAGGGGCCACCTACTCCAGCATGATCTCATCATCACTGCTAATATCTACAATGACCCCATTTCCAAATAAGGTCCAACTGGGAGAGACTGGGGATTAGTACTTCATATCTTTTGGGAGTTGGGGTGGGATGGCTGGCCCTATCAACTCTCCCTCCCCACAACGGGTCAGCCTGAGAAGCTGGAGGTGGTTCCCCTCCAGGATCTGGAGAGGCCCCTGCCTTCCCCTGCTCAAAACTCTTCCCTGGGCCCCAGTTGTTCTCAAGACAAAACCCAAACATCTTAGGGTTGTGGAAGTGTTCTAAAATGGATTGTGGTGATGAATGCACAACTCCAAAAATACTAAAAGCCATTGGCTTATGCACCTTAGGTCAGCAAGTTACATGGTATGTTAATTATATCTCAGTAAAGCTGTTAAAAAAGGAGGAAGGGGCAGGGTGCACCTAAAATCCTAACACTTTGGGAGGCCAAGGCAGGAGGATCTCTTGAGACTGGGAGTTTGATACCAGTCTGGGCAACAAAGAGAGACCCTGTCTCTTTAAAAAAAAAAAAAAAAAAAAAACTCAGCTGGGCAAGGTGGTGTGCACCTGTAGTCCCAGCTACTTGGGAGGCTGAGGTGGAAGGATCCCTTGAGCTCAGGAAGTCGAGGCTGCAGTGAGCTATGATCATACCACTGCCCTCCAGCCTGAGCAACAGAGTGACACCCTGTCTCTTCACAAAACAAAAACAAACAAAAATGGGGAGGAGAGAGAAGGAACAAAGGAATAGAAAAGGAAACGAAAGGAAAAAATAGCCAAACTCCTTCGTAGGGTCACCACCCACAAACAAAAACGGGGAGGAGAGAGACGCAGGAACAAAGGAATAGAAAAGGAAACGAAAGGAAGAAATAGCCAAACTCCTTCCTAGGGTCGCCACCCATCCTGGTTTGCCTGTGGCTGTCCTGTTTTTAGCACTGAAAGTCCCGCATCTTGGCACTGGGATGGGTCGGTCAGACCTCATCCTATAGAAGTGTGACCCCTACTGTCCCCACCCTCCCTCCAGCCTTCGTAAGTTCGTGGCCCCTCCCTTCTCTACTGGACACTGCTGTAGGGCTGCTTCTCAAATTCCTTCAGGGATAACGTCTAAAGGCTTCTTCTTCAGAGAGGCCCTCGGGAGTCACCCTCAATAAAGTCCCCTCCTACCCCTGCCTTTCCTGGTACTCACTGTCACATCAGTTTATTTCCTTTAGGGCAGCACTGATCCTTTTCTTGTCTTCTTTTCTTTTATTTTCTTTGAGACAGTTTCTCTCTTGTTGCCCAGGCTGGAGTGCAATGTTGCGATCTTGGCTCACCGAAACCTCCACCTCCCAGGTTCAGGTGATTCTCTTGCCTCAGCCTCCCGAGTAGCTGCGATTATGTAGCGGGGAGCTGGGGCAGGAGCCAAAAGCCTCAGCCTATTTCTATATAAATAATGAAGAAGAAAGTAACTAGAAATATGACGGTAGTAGTTATTAGCTATTCATGTGATCTTAGTTATTCATAGGTGATCCTAATTCTTTTACTAATGCCTCTCAGGTCGGAAGTGTGAACCTGGGGAGACACTGTGAAAGGAATGACCCTAAGGCAACTCGCTTTAAGCCCTCTCGCACGCCTGCATAAGGGCTGCTGGAGGGCGCCTTGGTGTCAGACCTGGGAAAGTGCCCGCTGTTTAGCCAGCTAGGGAAGGAGCCGTCCAAGATGCCTGAGACGTCTCCTTCCCCAGAGGAGTTAGGAGAAAACTCGGCCCCTCCAAGCTCTTGCGGTGGGCCTGATGCTATCAGGAAGGCCCGCAGACATCCAGGGGCTTACCTGTCTCTATGTCATGCTGTGGTTCAATGGTCACGTTCCACGTCCACTCTCATGTTCCGCTTCTGCACCTGGTTCCTTTTTTCTTAGAAGAGATAATCAGTAAAAGAATATGAATCTTAATGTTTTTGTTCTTTCCTAACAAGTATGGAAAAAGTGCTGATGCATTAGGCTCCTTACCTCATCTCGGCTATGTGAAATTCTTGAGCCCCTACCTGTATGACATGTGATGTACTTGACCCTATCACTGCCATGCCCTATCTACTCTGCCCCCAGTCACTGACCACCAAGGCCACGCCCTACCTACCCTGCCCCTAGATTTGCAACTCAATAAAGGGAGAGCGTCTAGGCATTCGGGGCCACTGCAGGACTCCACGATTTGGTTGGCAGTGGACCCCCGGGCCCAAACTCTCTTTTCTCTGTGTCTCGTGTCTTCTCTTTCTACAATTTCTCATCTCCACACCAGCAGAGAGGGGCTCACAGAACCCTACAGGGTTGGACCCTACAGCATTACAGACATGCACCACCACACCCGGCTAAGTTTGTATTTTTAGTAGAGATGGGGTTTCTCCATGTTGGTCAGGCTGGTCTCGAACCTGAGCAACAGAGTGACACCCTGTCTCTACAAAACAAAAACAAAAATGGGGAAGAGAGAGAAGAAGGAACAAAGGAATAGAAAAGGAAAGGAAAGGAAGAAATAGCCAGGTGATCCGCCTGCCTCGGCCTCCCAAAGTGCTGGGATTACAGGCATGAGCCACCGCACCTGGCCTCATTGATCCTTTTCTATCTCCCCCAGGCCTCTGGGTCTGATTCACTCTCCATGTCCCATGTAAATGGCAGGGAGCTTCGTACCTTTATCAACACGACCGCGTGAAGTAACCAGCTCAGACCACCAGGAGTCTATTTGTACACATACCTCACACCTTAAGTCAGAGACCTCCCGCGTGAAGGAACCAGCTCAAACCACCAGGAGTCTATTTGCACACATACCTCGCACCTGAAATCGGAGACCTCATTTGTATGGGAGCTGCTGGGGCTGTGCTCTCTACACCACAGGACACAGCAGGAGTAGCCACTGAAATTCCAAGTCGAGTGTGGATGTGTGTGTGTTTGCCAGCATTTGAGGGCGTCACTCCCCATGTGTGTATCAGCATGTGAATTCGATTGTTGGCTCACGAGGGTAAACGTGGCTGCACCCAGAAGAGAGTAAGACTGTGACAGGCGCTCCCTGGGGACAGGATCCTGGCCAGAATCCCAGGAGGCTCACTCGTCATGGCCTTGGATTAGGGATCCCGCTAAGCCTCGGTTTCCTCCTTGGCAGCGCACTCCAGGTGGGGGGCACGGGCAGGACTGAATGACAATTACATCCAGGTGTCTGCACACGAGGTCTCCCATCCTCCTAAATCCATCAAAAGTTATCCAAGCTGCTGCTGCTTCTACACTTTGAAGTACAGAAGGCAAGTGGGTCAAGATCCCAGAGCCAGACAGTGGCGGCCTGGTGGCATCGAGTGTGCACCGCGTATCTTGCAGACAAGGAACAGCCCCGGGAAGCTGGAGGGGTTATTGCTCTGCGATCCCACTTCGCGCGCAAGCCAGGAAGTGTGTGTCTGAACTCCCATCTGCGAGCATGTCGTCGAGGTGTGCCCCTCCAACTACTTCGTGCTCGGCAGCGCGGACGCACCTGCCGGTCCTCCCCGCGGGGACTCAACTTCCTGGGCCTGGGCGAGAACCAACGGCGGGGTGGGGCCAGGTGCGCAGGGGGCGAGGCCAGGGCCCGCGGGGCGGGGTCCACGTGGGTGACGCGCGGGGCCACGCCCCCACCTTGGGACAGACCCGGAAGCGGCGGCGGCGCCCCTCTGGGAAGATGGCGCCCTCGGGGCTGAAGGCGGTGGTGGGGGAAAGTGAGTGCCTCTCCGGGGCCGGGCTCTGGCGTCCCCTGGGGGGCGGGGGCACACGGGCTCTGAGACCCCGGGGTCGTGGCGTCTGGGAGTTCTGGGCCAGGTTGGGCGCCCCAGCAGCTGATCCTCGAGGGGGCGGGCGGGGACGGGGGCCCCAGCTGGACGTCCCCGCTCACCGGTGCCGGAGCGGAACAAAATTGGGGGACCGGACTCCGGGGACCCAAAGGGGACGGGTAGAGGGTGGCGTAGGCTGGGGCCCAGACTCAGCCTCCTAGAGTACCTGCCAGGGGAGGAGGGTACAACTGGATGCTCACACTCTAGGATCTCTTGAGCCGGACAAAGTTCAGGGATTGGATTCTTGGGACCCCCCCGGGACTCTGATCAGCGACCCCAGAGGCTATGAGCGCTCAGGGGACGTGTCCAAGCCCCACAGGGATGATGCAGGGGGCGCCTTCCTCCTTGCCCCATCCCCACTGGAGAAGCCCGTCGTCCAGGCCTTACGGGCCCCGGTTCTTGGGGGAGGGGTGGAAGGCGTCTCCTTCTCCACTCGGGGAGTTCCGGTCTCAGCTGCTCCTTCCGCCCTGGCCGTCCTGATAACAGTGGACATGGCACAGTGGACGTGGCTGGGCGGGGCCACCCCGTTACTTCTCTTCTCTCCCTCCTCTAGGCAGGGCAGTCGGTGGCTCAGACCCCCTTAATTGGGGGAGATTGGGAAAACAGTGATTCCGTTTTACAGATAAGAAAACTGAGGCAGGAGGTCGGCGGGATAGCCACAGCTAGGCATGCCTCACAGCTGGGACCCAGGGGTCCTACATTTTAGACCAGGGTCAGGGGACTGGCTGAAACCAGTAAGGACAGCAGGAAAACTTGTGATAGTAGGTGGAGAAGCCCAGAGCCTAGTTCTAGAGGCAAATAGAGCTGCAGATGATCCTGGCTCTCCACTTTTCATTCATCTAAAACGTGTTATTGATTAGCTACTTTTGCCCAGGCACTCTGCCATTTAGCCATTCAGGATGCTTAGGTAAGTTGCATGTCGCCTAAGAATCTGTTTCCCTGTCTGTGAATTGGGGGTGACCCCAGAAGCCACCTCACAGAACTGGGGGGTAAAAATATGCGGTTCCCATGCAGTGTCTCATATCTGTAATCCCAGCACTTTGGGAGGCTGAGGCAGAAGGACTGCTTGAGGCTAAGCGTTTGAGACCAGCCTGGGCAACATAGCGAGACCTCATCTGTACAGAAATAAAAATAAATTAGCAGTGTGTGGTACACACACCTGTAGTCCCAGCTGCTCGGGAGGCTGAGGTGAGAGGATCGCTGGAGCCCAGGAGTTGGAGGCTGCAGTGAGCTATGATCACACCACTGCACTTCAGCCTAGATCACAGAGTGAGACCTTCCTCTCTTTTAAAAAAAAAAAAAAAAAAAGTAGGCCGGGTGCGGTGGCTCACGCCTTTAATCCCAGCACTTTGGGAGGCGAAGGCGAGCAGATCACAAGGTCACTGGGCATGGTGGTGTGCACCTGTAGTCCCAGCTACTCGGGAGGCTGAGGCTTGAACTCGGGAGGTGGAGGTTACAGTGAGCCAAGATGGCACCACTTCACTCCAGCCTGGCGCCTGGTGACACAGAGACTCTGTCTGGAAAAAAAAAAAAAGTAAATGGGAATTAAGATGGGGGTTCAGCCCCAAGGCTGAAAAGACTTGGGGCAGTGGTGGGACCGGAGAACCAGCATTCTGACCCCTCCCCTCCCTTCCCTGCAGAAATTCTGAGTGGAGTTATTCGGAGTGTCAAGAAGGATGGGGAGTGGAAGGTATGGGCAAGGCAAATGCCTCGGTACCCAGAGGTAGCCCCTGATCAGGCCCATGAGGAACACCCTGAATGTGGAGACCCTGAGAACTGCCTGTCCACAGGGGTGGAGTTGGGTGAATGGGTCCTGGGTCCTCCTGCCCAGCCAGCCCTTGAAACTGCCCCTCCCACTGCCTTGGCCCTTCCTGGGGCCAGCTGTGGCCTCTTCCGCCTGCTTCTCCATCCATCTGTCCATCCATCTGGACAGGTGCTTATCATGGATCACCCTAGCATGCGCATCTTGTCTTCCTGCTGCAAGATGTCAGACATCCTAGCTGAGGGCATCACCAGTGAGTAAACGCGTCCCCAGTGAGATGGGACCTGAGTGCGGGACCCCCTGAATGTGCCCTGTTCCCAGGGTGCAGCCCTGGAGTGTAGGATCCCCTCAAATCGTCCAGAACTCCCAAGTATACAGCTCTCTGCTGCACAGACAGCCCCGATCATGTGACCAAGTACATTTCCTAAATGTTGCAAGCTGACCCCGGGAGCCCACGAATTTCAGACCTCCCCTGCAGGACTCCTCGGCTGCAACCCCTTCCTGACCGTGCAGCCCCTGCATGGAGCCCTGTGTGGGACTTCCAGGGTGGACTTTGGATGTGGGGACCCAAGAATGCAGAGCCTTCGATGGGTGACTCCAGGAGGTGCCCCAGTCACTTTGCCATTGAGGGACAGGTGCTGAGGGAGCCTGTCCTCTGAGAACCTCAGTTTCCCTGTCTGTAAATTTGGGAACCCAGCTGGCTGCAGAACCCCAAGTGTACAGAACCCTCTCGTGTGGCTCTTAGCTGGGTGACCCCCTAGGTGTGTTTCTCCTGCTGTTGCCCCTAAGCATCCAGCCCTCCTCCCCAAGCCTCCAACTCCCCACACCTGAGACTCCCCACGTGGCCCTGCCTGGATGCCACCCACCCATGTCCCTTCCTCTGTTCCTCCCAGTTGTTGAAGACATCAACAAACGGCGGGAACCCATTCCCAGCCTGGAGGCCATTTATTTGCTGAGCCCCACAGAGAAGGTGCCTACATGAGTGAGCATGTGTATGTGCACGCATGTGTGTACAGGTGTATGTGTGCATGTGTACGTTTGTGCATCTGTGTATGCATGTCTGTGTGTGTGTGTGTGTGTGCGCGCGTGCACATGTACCCATGTGGATGCTGGTGTGCACGTGCACATATGCATGACCCTGTCCATCCGTGTTTGCATATGGTGGCAGATGGGCAGTGGCTGGGAGGTGGGGGCAGACAACGAGCCTGCGGGTGTAGGCTCAGGTCCAGAGAGTGACCCACCTTCCCCAGTCGGTTCAGGCCTTGATCGCAGACTTCCGGGGAACCCCGACCTTCACCTACAAAGCGGCCCATATCTTCTTCACCGACAGTGAGTGAGGGGAGCCCAGGGTGTCAGGGTCTGGGGCGAGGAGATGTGGGGGCTGCTCTGGCCTGATGCCCCCCTCCTGCCTCACCCCAGCCTGCCCTGAGCCGCTGTTCAGTGAGCTGGGTCGCTCTCGTCTGGCAAAAGTGGTGAAGACATTGAAGGAGATTCACCTTGCCTTCCTCCCCTATGAGTCCCAGGTACGGCCCAGGCTCCTCCTGGTGGGGGTCTGTGACCAAATGTCCCCTGTTCCCTCAGAAACAGATACTGAGGCTGGGTGCTGTGGGAGGCCAGGGCAGGAGGATCACTTGGGGCCAGGAGTTTGAGACCAGCCTGGGCACAGAGCAAGACCCAGTCTTTTGAAAAGAAAGACAAATCAAAAGAAAGAAAGAAATTAACCAGGCATAGTGGTGTGCACCTGTAATCCCAGCTACTCGGGAGGCTGGAGTGGGAGGATTGCTTGAGCGTGGGAGGTCAAGGCTGCAGTGAGCTATGATTTCACCATTGTGCTCCAGCCTGGGTGATAGAGCGAGATCCTGTCTCAAAAACAGATTAATGAAGTAAAGATTTAAAAAGGGGCTGTACCAACGAAGTCCAAGGAGCACTTGCCTTGAGTTCTGTCCCACTGGGCCCCTGCAGGGGGCAGCACAGAGCGCACCACAGGGTTGTACAGCCAGCCTAAGGGACAGGGGCTGGGGTTGGTTTGGGGGTGACCTGGGGCCTGCCTACAAGTTGGCAGAGTAGGCTTCAGGGACCAGGTGACGGCAGCAGGAGTTGGGGCAGGTGTGCACCTGCAGCAGCAGTCCTGGCACATCTCTCCCCCTCCGCATCCAGGTGTTCTCCCTCGATGCCCCCCACAGTACCTACAACCTCTACTGCCCCTTCCGGGCAGGGGAGCGCACGCGGCAGCTCGAGGCGCTGGCCCAACAGATTGCCACACTGTGTGCCACGCTGCAGGAGTACCCGGCCATCCGCTACCACAAGTGGGGACCCCTCCCCGCCTTGAACATGTGCAGCACCTAAGCTTTAACCTCTCTTCTGACCCCAGCCCTCACCCTGGCCCCTGACTCCCACCTTCAACCCCATCCTTGACCCCATACCTGATGATGTCCCCCCGTGTCTGACCTCCCTGCCAGGGGCCCAGAGGACACAGCCCAGTTGGCCCACGCCGTCCTGGCCAAGCTGAACGCCTTCAAGGCAGACACTCCCAGTCTGGGCGAGGTGAAGGGGTGTGCTGGGGAGGTGAGGGGGTGTGCTGGGGGGGTGAGGGCGCGTGCTGGGAGGTGAGGGGCAGCTCCAGCTGGCTTAGGGTTAGTGGCTCCTTCCTACCCCAACGCCCACCCCAGGGCCCAGAGAAAACCCGCTCGCAGCTGCTCATCATGGACCGGGCAGCCGACCCCGTCTCCCCACTGCTGCATGAACTCACATTTCAGGCCATGGCCTATGACCTGCTGGACATAGAGCAGGACACATACAGGTCTGCAGACTCGGAAGCCATCCCCACCCTTGCCACCCACCTGGTTCCCCGGTCAGCTCCCCTGACCCCCAGGCTCCCTCCTCCCTTCCAGATACGAGACCACTGGGCTGTGTGAGGCGCGGGAGAAGGCCGTCCTGCTGGATGAAGAGGATGACTTGTGGGCGGAGCTTCGCCACATGCACATCGCGGATGTGTCCAAGTGCGTGCACATGGGGACCAGGTCCCCCTCCCCCACTGTGGGTCTGGTCATGGCGCTGGAATCCCTGGCTGCTGCCAGGCATTCGGCCTTGTGAGCGCCCCTGAGTGTGACTCCAGACTGGCCTCCAATTTCACCCCACCTCCCCATGTGACCCCTGAGTAGGCTTACCCCTGGGGTAACCTCACCCCTCCCCACCCTCATGGCCAGGAAGGTCACAGAGCTCCTGAAGACCTTCTGTGAGAGCAAGAGGCTGACCACAGACAAGGTAGGCGCAGACCCGGGTCACCACAGGTGCCGCTGGAGAAAAGCCCCTCCCCATGGGGGCAGGGCCACAGTCGGGATTTCTAGCCTGGAGTGGGTCCCAAGTGGGCATGGCCTGGCCTTGCCCCCCAGGCCCTGCCGTCTTTCCCCTGCCTCCCCAGGCCAACATCAAAGACCTGTCCCACATCCTGAAAAAGATGCCGCAGTACCAGAAAGAGCTGAACAAGGTGCGCTTGGGTGGGCAGGCGGCAGGTACACTTCGGCCCCTCAAGCCCAAGCTCTGTCTGTTCTCCCTTGACTCAGGCTTCAAACCCCTCTACTCCCACCCTGCACCCCGCAGTATTCTACACACCTGCATCTAGCGGATGATTGCATGAAGCACTTCAAGGGCTCGGTAGAGAAGCTGTGTAGCGTGGAGCAGGTGGGGCGGGGCCTGTGGGGGTGGGGCATTGGGGAGGGGCCGAACTGTAGATATGGAGGTCCTGGGGGAGGGGCCTTGGAGAGAGGTGGGACCTGGAGGGGAACGGGGGTCTGGAGAGGAGAAGTGGTCCTAGGATGAAGGTGTGGCCTGTATGTAGGTGGATAGGGCCCTGGAGAGGTGGGACCTGGGTGAGGGGCGGAGCCTTAGGTTGTCCCAGGACAGGGGTGTGGCCTGTACATAGGTAGGTGGGACTTTGGAGAGGTAGGCAGGACCTTGGAAGATGGGACCTGGGTGAGGGGTGGAGCTTTGGAGAGGTGGGACCTGGATGAGGGCTGGACCCTTGGAGAAGTAGGTGGAGCTTTGGAGAAATGAAACCTGGGAAGGCAGAGCCTAGGCGGGTCGGGGGGAATCTCAGGATAGGGCTGTGGTCTGTGCGTAGGTGGGTGGGGCCTTGGAGACATGGGACCTGGGTAAGGAGCAGGGCCTGTGGAGAAACTGTCCCTGGACAGGGGTAGGACCTTGAGGGACCTGGTGCTGAGATGAGGTAGGACCCGAATGTCTTCTCGCCAAGGATCCTGGGGACTGCCCTGGCTCTCCTACCCCCGGGGACGTCCCTGGCCCACCCCTCCTGTCCCATTCCCTGACACGTAGTGGCCGGTGGACGGCTGACCCCTTGCCCGCAGGACCTGGCCATGGGCTCCGACGCGGAGGGAGAGAAGATCAAGGACTCTATGAAGCTGATCGTGCCGGTGCTCCTGGACGCGGCGGTGCCTGCCTATGACAAGATCCGGGTCCTGTTGCTCTACATCCTCCTTCGGAATGGTGGGTGAGGGCTGCGGGGCGTCGGGATGCCCCCATTCGCCAGCATCTCCCACAGTCTTGGGAACCACCGAACCCCACAGCTCTCCCCGGGTCATTTCCAGTTACTGGGCCCACCAACCCCCACAGCTACCCTCTGGACTCAGGGACCCTCCTCCATTGGCTTGGGGTTCCTCCACTGAGGTGGGGGCCCTCTGCTGATGCAGACACCCCCACATCTGTGATTCCTACAGATGTGGGGCTCCCTCGTCTCACCTAGAGGAGCCCCTCGTCTACCCCTTCTAGGTTCCCCACTCTTGATCACATTAGCCCAGGGTCTCGAGGCCCTCCCCACTGCAGGATTCGCCCATCCGAATCCTGGGCGCTCCTCAGCCCACCCCAAACTCCCCTAAACCCGGGAACCCACTTGGCTACCGCCTCCAGCCCACCCATCCCCGTGTCCCAGGCGTGAGTGAGGAGAACCTGGCCAAGCTGATCCAGCATGCCAACGTGCAGGCGCACAGCAGCCTCATCCGCAACCTGGAGCAACTGGGAGGCACTGTCACCAACCCCGGGGTACGCCGGGAGGGGTGTGGGGGGATCCGGGTCGAGGGTGCGGGGCACAGCTGGGGCCCTGCCAGTCAAGAGGGCTGGTGGTACACAGGCGTGGCGTGGTTTCTGGGGGACCCAAAGCAGTGTGTCTGGTCTGATCTGGGGCCCAGAGGATATGGGAGCCTTCCCCAATCCCAGCTCACAAGGTAGGCGGGGGGGGGGTGAGGTGGGTGCTGCCATGCTGGACTCTGAAGTGGTGCAGTGCAGGGCTGGTCTGAGTCCCAGAGGCAGGGAGTAGGGTCCCCAGCACAGGGGTGATGACACACTGTCTACCTGGGCTCCCGGGGTCTCCAAGGGTCCCCCCCACCCATCCAGCTCCCGCACACAGCCACTTCCTGTGCGTGCTTGACTATCGGATGAGCCTCTCCTGTCTCTCTCTGGCCCTGTGTCCCCCCCCCCCCCCCCACCCCGCCCATGCCATGGTGCCCCCCCCCCCTCCCCATCTCTCCCCCGATCTCTCATCCATCTCACTGCATGCTATTTCTCTGTGTCCATCTCTCTGCCTCTTACCTTCTCTCAACCTTCCCCTTTCTCCCAGTTCTCTGTCTCGCTCCCCTCCCCTGTCCGTCCTCCTTCTGTCCCCGTCTCCCTCTCTGTCTTTCCTACTTCATCTCTGGTCCCTCTCTTTGCCTTCGGACTTTGTCCCACTGCCTCTTATCTCTCCCTATCTCTGTCTCTCTCCTCCCCTTCTCTCTCTCCCCACCTCCTCCTCTCTCCCCCCCCCTCCTCTCCCCCCCCCCCCCTCCCCCCTCTCTCTCTCTCTCTCTCCCTTTGATTCTCTCTCTTTGGCTCTCTCTGGCTCTCTCTCTCTCTGTCTCTGTCTCTCTGTTCCATTTCCCCGTCTTTGCCTGCCATCCCTCACCCCACCAGCCACACCAGGCCCAGGCCCTCTGTGACCAGCCTCCTTCCCCTCAATGCCCGCCTCGGCCCTCCCTGCCCCACCTGTAGGGCTCAGGGGCCTCCAGCCGGCTGGAGCCGAGAGAGCGCATGGAGCCCACCTATCAGCTGTCCCGCTGGACCCCAGTCATCAAGGACGTGATGGAGGTACTGGGTGGGCAGGTTGGGGGGGCCCAGTTCTCTGCATCAGTTGGTGGCCCAGCCTCCCCCTGCCTGAGGCACTAAGCTTCAGGGCTTAAGGGCAAATCCTCATTGCTGGCATTCCCTTGGCACCGATCTGCTCTGCTGAGGGGGGCACCGAGCCCGCAGCTGAGGAATTGGGGCGACAGCGGGGCCTGTGCTGGGGAACCTCACTTCCTTCCCACCTGCCTCCGCTCTCTCTAGTCTGTTCCCCTGCCCCCTCAGGATCCCCCCAACCCCAGTCCTGGCCTTCCCAGGATCACAGGGCAGCAACATCCAATGGTGACTGGCTAGGGCCTGGCTTCCTGACTTCCTTCTTGTCCTTCTAAGAGTGCCGGCCCCTCCTTCTGCCAGAGACCTGGGCCACCTCCTCCCCATGGACCTTGAATAACTGGATTCCTGGGGCTCCGAAGGACTGAGGGCCCAGACTCTGGGGTCCAAAGGACTAGGAGTGTTGACTGATGGTCCCCAAGGGCCAGGAGGTCCCCAAGAAATTATGGGTCTAGATTTCTGGGTCCCCTAGGAGTTATGGGACTAGATTTGTGGGTCCCCAATGAGTTATGGGTTTAGATTTCTAGGTCCTCACAGAATTATGGGTCTAGAATTCTGGGTCCCCAATGGACTAGAGGCCTAGACTCCTGGGTACCCCAGGGGTAGGAGGTACAGATGGTGGTTGGTGTCTGCCAGGATCTTGGCCCCTGAATACCCTGTGGGGGGCGCTCCTGACCCCGGGCCTATTGCCTGGAGCTCCTCCCCTGACCCTCCCTCTTGGCTGCCAGGATGCCGTGGACGACCGGCTGGACAGGAAGCTGTGGCCCTTCGTATCCGACCCCACCCCTGCAGCCAGCTCCCAGGCCGCTGTCAGGTGAGGCCTGGGGCCACCCCCGCCCAGGCCCAGGTCCATGTTAGGTGGGTGGCCTGGCGGTGGTGAGGGTCTCCTGCCTGGACTTTCTGCCCCTGCCCCGCACAGTGCCCGCTTCGGTCACTGGCACAAGAACAAGGCCGGCGTAGAGGCCCGGGCGGGCCCCCGACTCATAGTGTATGTCATGGGCGGCGTGGCCATGTCGGAGATGCGGGCCGCCTATGAGGTCACCAGGGCCACTGAGGGCAAGTGGGAGGTGCTCATTGGTAAGTCATCAGGACGGGGACCCTGGGGCTCTGGGACCCTGGGGCTCTGGGGCTCGGGTTCCCGGGGGTTCGGGGGCTCTGGGGCTCGGGTTCCCGGGGGCTTGGGGGCTCTGGGGCTCGGGTTCCCGGGGGCTCGGGGGCTCTGGTTCCCAGGGGTTCGGGGGCTCTGGGGCTCGGGTTCCCGGGGGTTCGGGGGCTCTGGCGCTTGGGTTCCCGGAGGTTCGGGGGCTCTGGGGCTCTGGCACTCGAGTTCCCAGGGGTTCGGGGGCTCTGGGGCATGGGTTCCTGGGGGTTCCCGGGGGTTTGGGGGCTCTGGCACTTGGGTTCCCGGGGGTTCAGGGACTCTGGGGCATGGGTTCCTGGTGGTTCCCGGGGGTTCAAGGGCTCTGGCGCTCAGGTTCCCCGGGGCTGGCCTTGTATACTCAAGGCTTCTAGACTCGAGTACATGGCATCAGGAGCCTGGTTTGCTGAGGGACAGGGACAGATCTGCATCAGCTGGAACCCAAGTGGGAGCCTGTCAAAGACTGAGGCAGCCCCCCCGCCACAAAAACATCCCCAAACCTCTGCTCCTGCCCAGGGTCCTCACACATCCTCACCCCAACCCGCTTCCTGGATGACCTGAAGACGCTGGACCAGAAGCTGGAGAACATTCCCCTGCCCTAACCCCTGGCCCCCGCCCCCTACCCCTCTGTTTCCAGAGAAATAAAGTCTTCCCATCTTTCTGCCAGCCAGCACCCACCTCACTTTCTTTCCAAGGGAACCCCTGGAAGTTGTGCTGAGCCAGGCCTGTGCCCCAGGCCCCACCAACCCCTATTATCCTCTCAGAAGGAGAATTCACCTCGCCCTGCCCCCGAGGGCCTCAAGCCCTCATGGAGGTTAAGAACTTGGACTGTGCCACTTGAGGTGGCTCATGCCTGTAATCCCAGCACTTTGAGAGGCCAGTGCTGGTGCACCACTTAAGGTCAGGAGTTCGAGACCAGCCTGGCCAACATGATGAAACCCCATCTCTTCAGATCTCATGAGACTTTGAAATTAAAAAAAAAAGAAACCCCATCTCTACTAAAAATACAAAACAACTAACCAGGTGTGGCTGCGGGTGCCTGTAATCTCAGCTACTTGGGAGGCTGAGGCAGGAGAATCGGTTGAACCAGGCAGTAGACAGTGCAGTGAGCCAAGATCACACCTCCACACTCCAGCTTGGGGGACAAAGCGAGACTCCCTGTCAAAAAAAGAAATAACCTGGACTCTCATTTTGAGTATCAGTTTAAAGATTTTTCTAGCAGGGAGGCCCCGGCCAATGTACGGGGTTCCCCATCTAAAAACAGGGAGCCCAAAATAGCAGCTGCTTTGCAGAGGAGAGAACGGAGATAGCGCAGGAAGGCTGACAACATGGAAGTGTGACAGCTTGGACAGCTGCTGCTACTCCATTTTCGCTGGAACTAGTTAATATTGTTATTAACAAGCAGAATGGACCCCGGAGCTCCAACCCCCCGAAACTGTCCCAAGGGGACCTGTAGGCTCACGATGTCAGGAGTTGTGTTCCGCTTCTGGTGTATTCACGTGAAGCACACAACAAACTTCCTTGCTTTCTCCTCCCAGCCCCACTGTGCTCGGCCTCCCTCCTGATTGAGGTTACAGATCTTTTTGAGAATTCAGGGAAATCTAAGGACACTCATCCCAGAAAAACTGCACACGCAATTCACAGGTGAGGGCTGAGGAAAATGCAACCCCTCGGATTCAGCAATTCCATTATTAGGATTTATCTGAATCTCCCACCAGGGCAGAGATAGATGAGCAGAGTTGTGAAGGGGATGAGGTGTGGGGAAGAAAGTAGGTCAGCCGTGGACCCCTGGGGTCCACCCGCCCTGGATATGCCTTGACAGGGCCTCAGCAGGGACGTGTTCTAACTTATGGAAGGCGCGGGGAGTGGGAGGGAAGTGGTTTTAATGTCTAAAACTTAAGCTCAAGGTCGGGCATGATGGCTCACACTTGCAACCCCAGCACTTTGGGAGGTTGAGGCCGGAGGATTGCTTGAGGCCAGGAGTTTCAGGCCAACCTGGGCAACATAGCAAGATCCTAAATACATGTATTTTTGAGACAGGGTCTCACTCTGTCACCCAGACTGGAGTGCAGTGGCACGATCTCAGCTCACGGCAGCCTCCACCTCCTGGGTTCAACCGATTCTCCTGCCTCAGTCTCCCAAGTAGCTGGAACTACAGGCACATGTCACTACACCCAGCTGATTTTTGTATTTTTAGTAGAGACGGGGTTTCACCATGTTGGCCAGGCTAGTCTTAATCACTTCACCTTGTGATCCGCCTCCCTCGACCTCCCAAAGTGTTGAAATTACAGGCGTGAGCCACTGTGCCCGGCCAACACTCTGTAAAAACATTTGAAATGTAACCATGTCTAACTGGGTAGTTACTTGACACAGTAAATGATCTTTTCTAGATTAAGAAGAAAGAAAAAGAAAAACATTTTAACGACTTTCTAGGAAGCTAGGGGACCGGCTTGTGTAGGCACACGCTGTGAGCGCGCCAGGGGGCGCTGCGGCGCAATTTCCCCGTTTCTTTGATCATCCGCATCTGTCACTGGAGACGCGGTGACCCTAATTAGAGACCGCAGGGAAGTAGGTCGGGGTCATTCCGTGGTTCTCAGCAGAGACAAAAGTCTGTTGCTTAAACCGCCTCTGCCTCTGCCCCTTACTTACACCCAGATGATAAAATGTCTTCACACTAAAGGCAAATACTGAGTCTACAAATATTTATGTGCCCTGTGGGCGGCGGCAGCTGACAATATCAGGCCCTAACAAGCAATAAATCAAGCCCCCTCGGCACGCGTTATGCAGATCATCAAAACCCTCCTGTGAGGATCGCTGGAGCCCAGGGGCTCGAGGCTGCAGCAAGCTGTGATCGCGCCACTGCACTCCAGCCTAAGCAACAGGAGGGAACCCTGGCTCACTAAAAAAAAAAAGTAGAGTAAAAAAGTTGTTAGTGGCCATCAGCTATTTTGTTTGTTTGCTTTTGAGATAGAGTTTTGCTCTTGTTGCCCAGGCTGGAGTATAGTGACACAATCTTGACTCACTGCAACCTCCACCCTGTGTGTTCAAGCAATTCTCCTGCCTCAGCCTCCCAAGAAGCTGGAACTACAAGCATGTGCCACCACGCTGGGCTAATTTTTGCATTTTTAGTAGAGAAAGGGTCTCACCATGTTGGCCAAGCTGGTCTTGAACTCCTGACCTCAAATGATCCACTTGCCTTTTAAACTCCTATAATGCTGGGATTACAGGTGTGAGCCACCACCCCCAGCCATCAATTCTTGATTTAATAATCTCTTGAGGACTATATCCAACATTATCATTCCTTCCACTGGAATTAGCTATGGTTCTTCTGGAAAAAAAAAAAAAAAAAAAAAACTTTCTGCTTCCCTCAGGAACTAGTTGGTTTGTACAGAAAGTGACAATGTGATACATTGACTTATCTTTGTGGAATGGCCTGAGGCAAGTGGTCACATGAGCTCAGAAGAGGAGCCTGTGTGGCCACATTGGAAGCATATAGGAGGTACCCAGGAATGATTGGCTGCCATAATAATCATTATCTAATTTATAATAGTAAATTTGTTACTAATTATTATCATTCACGATTATGACTGCTGGGTGAGAACAATAGTGGTCTCATGTATACATGCGCATTACAGGGTGAGACTTCTCCTTCCTGTGGTATTCAGGAGATTCTACAATAGGAACTCATTGAAATAGTGAGAGGAGGGCTGGCTCACGCCTGTAATCCCGGCACTTTAGGAGGCCGAGGTGGGTGGATCACCTGAGGTCAGGAGTTCGAGACCAGCCTGGCCAACATGGCGAAACTGTCTCTACTAAAAATACAAAAATTAGGCCGGGCGCGGTGGCTCAAGCCTGTAATCCCAGCACTTTGGGAGGCCGAGGCGGGTGGATCACGAGGTCAAGAGATCGAGACCATCCTGGTCAACATGGTGAAACCCCGTGTCTACTAAAAATACAAAAAATAGCTGGGCATGGTGGTGCGTGCCTGTAATCCCAGCTACTCAGGAGGCTGAGGCAGGAGAATTGCCTGAACCCAGGAGGCGGAGGTTGCGGTGAGCCGAGATCACGCCATTGCACTCCAGCCTGGGTAACATGAGTGAAACTCCGTCTCAAAAAAAAAAAAAAAATACAAAAAAATACAAAAATTAGCTGGACGTGGTGGCGGGTGCCTGTAATCCCAGCTACTTGGGAGGCTGAAGTGGGAGAATCGCTTGAACCCAGGGGGCAGAGGTTGCAGTGAGCTGAGATCACACCACTGCACTCCAGCCTGGGCAATACAGTGAGACTTCGTCTGAAAATAAATTAATCAATAAAAAAATACATGAGAGGACTGGTGCAGTGGCTCATGCTGCTAATCCCAGCACTTAGGAGGCCTAGGTGAAATGATCACCTGAAGCTAGGAGTTTGAGACCAGCCTGGGCAACATAGCAGGACCCCTGCCTCTACAAAAAAATGTAGCTGTACCTGGTGGTGCATGCCTTTAGTCCCAGCTACTTGGGAGGCTGAGGCAGGAGGATCACTTGAGTCCAGGAGGTGGAGGCTACAGTGAGCTGTGATTGCACCACTGCACTCCAGCATGGGTGACAGCGCAAGACCTTATCTCCAAAAAACACAAAGAATGAAAACACAAGGGTTCAGGGTAAATTAAAGCTCAGGGCTGGGCCAGGAGCAGTGGTGTTAGCGACCCTGGCAGAGAAGTTGGGGACAAAGGAAGCAGTGTTGGAGACCTGTAGAGGAGGCTTCGTGGCCCCAGACAGGAAAAGGAGGTGATGGAACTCAGTGAGCCAAGGAAATCTCATGGAAATAAGAAAGGTGCCAAAGAGAGGGCACCCAGGGTGGGGTAGGGACCCAGACATGGAGGGGAGCTTCCCTTTAGTTTTTGTAAAGTTGCTCAAAAAACTTAAAACCAAAGTTGGCCAAGAGCTGCTGCCAAGAACATTGTGAAAAGGTCTCTGGGTGAGGAAATGGCCTGCGAGCGGGGAGGCTCCGATCTCACTGGGTGAGGAAATGGCCTGCGAGCAGGGAGGCTCCGCTCTGCTGGGATCAGAGGTGACGCTCCAGGGCTTCGGTGGGCCGGCCAGAACAGCCAAGCCCTGGCACGGAGGCTCTGTTTTGGTTCTTTCATTCCCTTCCTTTTTTTTTTTTTTTTTTTTTTTTTTTTTGACAGAGTTTCGCTTTTTTGCCTAGGCTGGAGTGAAGGAGTGCTATCTCTGCTCACTGCAACCTCTAGCCCCTGGTTTCAAGCGATCCTCCTGCCTCAGTCTCCCAAATAGCTGGGATTACAGGCACCCGCCACCACATCTGGCTATTTTTTGTATTTTCAGTAGAGATGGGGCTTCACCATGTTGACCAGGCTGGTCTCGAACTCCTGACCTCAGGAAATCCACCCACCTCGGCCTCCCAAAGTGTTAGGATTACAAGCATGAGCCATCGTGTCCATCCTCTTTTTTCTTTTCTTTCTTTTTTTTTAAGGCAGAGTCTCACTCTGTCGCCTAGGATGGAGTGCAGTGGCACAATCTCAGCTCGCTGCAGCCTCTGCCTCCTGGGTTCAAGTGGTTCTCCTGCCTCAGCCTCCCAAGCAGCTGGGTTTACAGGCAGGTGCCACCACACCCAGCTATTTTTCATATTTTTAGCAGAGAGAAGATTTTGCCATGTTGCCTAGGTGA